AGGGTGGTGGGTGGCAGGGTGGTGGGGCGACTCCTCCCCCACCACCAATCAATCAATCAATCAATCAATCAACCTTTTTTTTTTTTTTTTTAATTTTGCATCTGCATTTTTTCAAAACACCTCATACTTCTGCAAAAAAACATAAATTCATTTCTTAAAAAATACAGGTAAACTCATGGACCATATATCTCATGATAAAAAATGACCAAAAAAAAATCCTGCTTTTCTTTATATATTTTTTTTAATTTTGTTTAAATCCATTTTAGTTTTTGATTTTTTTTAAATCTTAAACAAAGTCGGATTCCAAAAAAAAAAATATAGGAGTGTAGGGTTTTTAATCCCTACACGCCCATGTATATATATATATATTTCATGCATTAGAAAAAAAAATAAAAATATTGCACCGAAGTCGGCTGGTCGGCCTAGGCCGCGGCCGACTTGGACCCCCCGGCCGCGGTCGGGCGTGCAACACAGTTTATTATGTATATTCATGGCAGGCTGGACGCTATAAGTTGAAAATCCAACCATATAAGCCGGTAGCAGACAAAGCAAAGGGAAAGAAGATGAACAATACAAATTGGTGTGGTAACCGTGGGCAGGCTGACTCACCCATAAGTTGGGTAGTTGGTCTTATGTCCTTGATAACACGAAAGCAGAGAGATATATAAAGTCTGGCTATTTTCCTTTTCTAAACATAACTGACGTTGGGTGGGGATCCTCATGAGTTGAGGTGACCTGACCACTCGTCTGAAAACAGAATCTGATTATGAACTTATCTATTGGATGTAGTTGTGTCGCGGAGGGCGGGCGAATGCATAAGTTGGGGGCTGCTCGGTCATACACGCCTGTTGTTGTTTAGGCGGGGCTAGACTACTCATAAGTTTGGTAGCCTAGTCTTATGCTATATGTCACTGTATGGGCTGGCCAGCCACAACGTAAGTTGTTGTGTCTGGTCATATGCCTTTCGTCGTTTGTTCAGGCGAAGGCTGAGCTCCTCATAAGTTGAGGTGGTTCAGTTTTTCGTGTATGCCGAGTGTTCAGGCCGACCAAGTCTCACCATAAGTTGGTGTGCCCTGGTTATACGCCTGATGTCATTCGTTCAGACATAGGCTTATCACAACATAAGTTGTTGTGGTAAGTACTATGCCTTATGCCTACAAGTTGAACATGGTTGTATTACGAAGGCTGGGCGAACGCATAAGTTGCGGGTTGTTCAGTTCTTCGCGCATGTGATTATGTCTAGGCTGGGCTAGACTACTCATAAGTTGGGTAGCCTGGTTCTACGCTATATGTATTTGTTTGGGCTGGCTGGGCACATCATAAGTTGGTGTGTCTAGTCATATGCCTTTTGTCGTTGTTTAGGCAGAGACTGACCCCTCATAAGTTGGGGAGGTTCAGTTTTTCGTGTATGCCGAACGTTCAGGCTGGCCAGCCTCACCATAAGTTGGTGCGGCCCGACCATACGCCTTATGTCGATCGTTTTGCAAGAACTGGTCACACCATAAGTTGGTGTGGTTTGGTCTTATGCGTACGTATATTTGTGTTACCAGGCTAGGGCACCATRAGTTGGTGTGGCCTAGTCATATAAACTGGCAGGTCAGTCACATCCATAAGTTGGGTTGGCTGACCCTATGTCTTATGTAAGGAAGGGTAAAAAGGGAATAATGAGGGTTTTTGAATGAACTATGTGACCTGGAAAAGAACTATGTGGGATTGTGAGAGATGTTTATGCTTGCATGATCGTGGGCTCTCACTTGGGGCATCTTTTGGATAGAGTAGTTGTTGTAGATGCTCGCGTAGTGTTGGAGTCATAGGTAGGTAAGATGGATGATGGGAGGGAAGCTTGGGATAAGATAGGACTGACTCTGCTAGGGTTTAGGATCGACATTGGCTCATGGTCTCATTCAGAGGGCATGTAAACTAGTGTTGAGCCTAAGTTACCAAGTAGGTGTCAGAAGTTAATCCCAAGTATAGTTTTGTCTTGCATTTATGTTTTCAGCTTCGTATAAATCTTGGTAGCCTCCTTTTCCTACGGGAAGCGCTGCCGAAATTTCTACAAATCTGAAAGAGTTGGTCATTTTTGGACTTATAGAAATTCTGGGAAGGCACTTTTTCTACGGGAAGCGCTGCCAAAATTTTGCAGAGTTTAGGGAGTTAGATTATTTTCAGCTAGGAGAAATTTGGCAATTCATCCTGTTGAGGGGACATGCTGCCAAAAGTTCATAAACATCAGAGGCTAGGCATAATTTTATCTTTATCACTCAAGCATGACTTGGGTACTGGCCTGTGCTGCATTGCAGGTCACCTTTATTCAGATAGATTCAAGGCTTGACTACCTTCAAGCTGATCCTACAAGGATAATTTTCTGTTATCCTTTGATAACAGGTCGGTTTCTGGCTCAACTCTAATTCATTTTTGCTACCCAACCTAAAGGCTTTAGCCCTGTGGTTTGATTTGTTTTGTTGTGTTTTTACCCAGACTTTTATTGAATGTCCATTTAATAAAGATGCTGAGTATTTTATTGTGAAAGTTGCACAAAGAGTGAGGCTTGTATGACTAAAGCGAGGGGTGTGAGCGCAAGGAATGATTGAAGTTGACCCCGTGTAGTGCATGGACTTTTGGTTGA